GCAGTGGAGATTTAGAATCAGAGTTTTCCTTCTCCTAGATGGAGGCTGATGGGCCCCACCTGCCCCTCACTTGCCTCTACAGCACATGCAGAAACCACCTTCTTGACTTTTGGGCTCACTGTTGATCTCATCTGCAAAATCCATCACAGCCTGCCTTCTCATGCAGGGGAAGTCCCTAACTCACTGAGGGTTTGAGATCCATTGGCTACCCTCAACTAGTTTAGCCAGCCAGTCAAAGCCATTTTCCAGGGTGTGGCCATGCTGACAGCTTCTAGGAGCCACAGGTGAGAGCTGAATGCAGGGGGGGGGGACCAAGGGTGGGCAAACTACCCCAGAAGGAGCACGACGTGTCCCCCACCAGAGGTACAACCCCTCCCCTAAGACCCCATATATACTGACCTGGTATGATGAGAACAGCCAGTCCCAGTTTGTAATCTTGCTGCCTTATTTTGGACCAGCTAAAGCTTCTAGGCCATTTTCAAAGACCCACATATAACCCATTGTAGTAATCTAAATGGGAGGGGACCAAAGAATGAATAGCCTGTCCACATAGCCTCACAGTTGGTATATCCTATTAAGCTGATAAAAGGCACCCTGTGCCACTGAGACCAGCTGTGTCACCAGCAACAATGGTGGATCTTGCACCCTCCAACTGTGAAGCTGAGCCTTTAGAAAGAATATAATGGACCTAGCTACAACAACTCAACTGGGCAAACAAACCACCCACTAACAACTCATCCAAGTTATCCGCCTCTCCCCATAGGAACTGACCTGGATGGACCCTGTGACCAAAATCAGAAGCTCTTCTTCATGTGCCTCCTCTGCAAGAGGTCTGGAAGGCAGGAACATTAGAGCAGGCCTTTTCTGCAATGGCTCCCCACTTGTGTAATGATCTTTCTAGGGAAGCTCTCCTGGCACCTTTGTTACATATCTTCATGCGCCAAGCAAAACCATTCCTCTTCTCCTAGGCCAGTGGTTCTCAACCTGTGGGTCCCCAGATATTGTTGGACTAACAACTCCCATCATCCTTGACCATTGGTCATGCTGGCTAGGAATGATGGGAGTTGTAGTGCAACAACATCTGGGGACCCACAGGTTGAGAAACACTGTCCTAGGCCTTTGGCTAATCATCAGCATCGTCATCATCAAGGCTGAGTCTCAAGTTGTTGATTTCATCCAGTCCATTACCATTCTCTGGCACTGATTTAGAACATCCACCACCTACCCAGGTGGAAAAGAGAGAGGCATCATGCTTTGGTGACATTTCAGGCAGTATCTCTGGATGAACACTCCCATGTAAATGTTGCACAGCACAAGGGAGAAAATGGATCCCCAAGATGACCCCGCAGCGTAACTGCCAAGGGGCAAAAGAGTAATTGTGGAGCGCCACCTTCTGGAATGCAGGATCATGCAGCTGCAGTTCCACTCTAATGCTCTACCTCCAACACCCAACTGAGACCATCATTCCAGAAAAAGACCATGGTTTGTTGGGTCAAAAGCTTCTTGGATCAAAAGGTCCCAGAGAATTGGCAGGGTTGCACTCCCTCTTTCAGGGCAACAAAGATAGCCTAAAGCCCAGTTGAAATGGATCTAGAAAATAGGTTTCATCCAAGAGGGCAACCACTGTCTTGAACACCATGCCCAGGAAGGGCATGTTTGCAACGGGGCTACAGTTGTTCAGGTCTTCAGGAGTGGTCTAATTGCTGCCTGTTTTAAAGAGTCTGGGACCATTTCATCACTTGATGCTAGATCCTTTTGTAGTATGTCTAGTTTTAAACAGGACCTTTACTGATAGACGGTCTTGTTCCAAGACGAACTCCCCTGAAAAGAAACATCTGCTTAATTGTTTGTGAATCTGAGCCAACCAAGAATTATTATTCAGAAGGTCATGATAGTTCCTTTAAGTGTAATTTGGAAAGTCTAGAATTGTCTATGAATTGTGACTGCAGCCAATAATTCAACACCGGAAACTTTATTCTAATTGACATAGAACATGTACCAGCTTTCAAATGAAGCCCAGTTGCAGAAGCATTGGCTGCCCCTAGGTGATCTCTGAAATGTATTTTTAACTGTTCCAATGGCCAACAAATTACATCTGCCCCTAATCTGAATACCACATGATAACTGGGTAGTGTTATGTGTTTTTAAAACTTTTACTATAGCATAGGTCAAACTTCTCTCTATTTCTAGAAACACAAATAGTTGCTTTAGGCCTGATATCAGTCTTAAGCCAAACATATTTTCCGATGCTTTTCTATTTCTTCTGGGAGAAAAAAAGAAAGACAACATAGGTAGGCAAGTAGGACAATTACAGTGGTACCTCAGGTTACAGACACTTCAGATTACAGACGCTTCAGGTTACAGACTCTGCTAACCCAGAAATAGTACCTTGGGTTAAGAACTTTGCTTCAGGATGAGAACAGAAATCTCATGGCGGTGGCACGGCGGCAGCGGGAGGCCCCATTAGCTAAAGTGGTGTCTCAGGTTAAGAACAGTTTCAGGTTAAGAACGGACCTCCGGAACGAATTAAGTACTTAACCCAAGTTACCACTGTATAGCACAGTGACAGTTATGTCACATTATGCCACACATTGGTTTCATTACAAACTCAGGAGCATTATTTCATCAGCACCTTGCGTTCAGTAATTCAAAGGCATTAAAAAGGAAGGCACTAGAGCAGGCTTCTTCAACCTCGGCCCTTCAGATGTTTTGAGACTACAATGCCCATCATCCCTGACCACTGGTCCTGCTAGCTAGGGATCATGGGAGTTGTAGGCCAAAAACATCTGGAGGGCCAAGGTTGAGGAAGCCTGCACTAGAGCTCATAAAGCAGAATAAAATGTGCAGATGAGCACTGACATCTACAACTGAGGCTAAATTCAGAGCAGAGAAATGGGTATACAGAAAAACTGTGGAAGACTTCCAGCAAGGTATGAGAAACAGTGAGCAGTACAAGGTAGGCACATGAGTGGGAACTCTTCCTCAGTGGTTACTGATTGGTGGGAGACTCTGTGCCCAACTCTTTACCAGAGCCAGGACAACTTCTTTTTTTAATGGTGATGCATTTGACCACAATCAATATACTGGTTTCAGCATATTGTTTTGACCTTTCCACAACTCTTGCCACTGGTACTTCAGCTTGAGACTTAAAAATGGGGTAAAGTCACTTGATGGGACTTTTGCATGTTTCAAAGCCAGCCACTTTGCAATCTGTGAATAAGGAGCCAAAGTTGGATGGAATGGGGGAGAGAAAGTATTTTGGCTCTGCACCGCGTTATTGCCATTGACCATCCCAGTGCCTATCATTTATGTCTTCAGTGTGGAATTCACTTTTCCATGCAGCCTGATGGCCTTTTGAAGTACAATGTGGCACCTTATTTGATTTGGCTAGCAGCTAACCATGGCAAGCTATGCTTTGTTACTGTAGTTTCTTCATAGTCCGATAAAAAGAAGGAATCCCTTTCTCAAATATCATTTTCTGCAAGTTAAATGGCAAAGACATTCAGATAATCTCACACTTGCACCTGTTTCAGATTCCAGAGGGAACTATCCCCGTTTTATCCTATATCATCCATAGTCCTTAACTGTGCATGCTGTCAACAGCACATATCCTCCCAAGTCTCAGAAATTACCGGTATTCTTTTTCTTTACTTCCCTATTCAGATCTATGCCATCTTTACTATCATCTTTATTACCATCTGTGCCTGATCTCAGTAAAGGCATATTTCTTTCGAAATCTTATCCTCTGTAGCCCATGATAGCTAGAGGTGCTTTAGCATGGGGGCTAGATGCAAACTGTAGTCCTGTAAGTAAACTGATCTCTCATGTCAAATGCAGGATCCATCACATAAACACACGACGCGAGCACAGCATGGCTGCTTCTGCTCCAGGGTCAGTGCCACAAGACCTTAGTAGCTCTTGCCAAGTTTTTAAGAGGGGAGGGGAGGCTGCTGATGCGTGTTAAGGTCTGCCTCTTGACTTTAAGGGATAATTCTAACCTTGCCCACTGCTGCTACTACTAGGTCGACCCACCTATACCCACAATTGCCTCATATAGTCTAGTACTTGACTTCCCTTTTCAGTATCTTTCTCATGCTCCTTAGTCTTATACGCATAAGTCCTTCTCTACATGCGTACAGGTATGCAATCTTTGTAGGACTGCACCTCGGAGAACCAGAAGACAAAAAAGGATGGCTTGGAAATATTAAAAAAAGCAAGCCCTCATTCGATGGCAATATTATTAATAGTGGCTGTGGTATGCCTAAGTATGTGCTGCCTTATTAACATTTATTTGGGCATTATCAGCCCATACGGGAGAGTTAAGACGCCCACTTTGTTTGATAGCAAAGTTTGTTGGGACTTTAAGAGTCTCGACAATACTCGCTTCCTCTCTTCGCTAAACAAAAACCCCTCCAAAAACAGTCCCCTGAGTACAGAATAAAGACTTTGCTGATTTATGGGGCTTTGTGGTACAAACCTGTTGCGCCAGTGATTTACAGGCTTTGCTGAACATTTAACTGTCAATATAACTAATTACAGTTGACTTTAGCTTACTGTACTGAAAACGCTCATTTTGTGAAATATAGTGTTCCATGTGAAAGAGGGAAAATCAAACATCCTCAGGGCTACCAAACAAGAAAGAACTACTCCATATTAGGACGGAAAACTTTGGACTTGTCATAAACCTTCAAATTATTATTTCTTGGCACCATGTTTTAGCTCAAAGTACTCAAATATTATAAATCACCATTAAGTTAATATTTCAATCTCGCTTAATAGTAAATGAAATTTACCAGTTTAACTCTCATACAGGTGACTGACATTTGAAGAAACATGGTGGGGGTGAGAGTTAATTTGCTTGCGGTTTTGTTTTGAGGGAATATTATCATTGCCTGGTCTCATTATTATGTAAAAACAAGGCTTTCCAAACATGGTTTTGTAAATAAAGATTGTTTTTGATGTTAATAAATAACTAAAAAAAATTAAGACAGATTTTTTTTCTAGACTGTATTTTAATAGTTACAAGGTAAACGAGAGATTTAAATCTTTAGAATATTTGAAAGGAAATAAATTGGATGTGTTTCCAGGGCGAAAGAGAGTATATTCGAGACATACCAGAGATACTTAAGAGTATGGAATGCAAGCCTAAATTACTCAACGGTGATTCCCCCAGCTGCACAACTAATGGAAATAAAACCCAATGAAAAACATAATTTATGTATCTTCAATATTAACAAACACTTCCCCTCAGATTTAAATGTCACCCCCCCCACCCCTTCCAAGGCACAACTAACTACATGTATCCCATGTTGCTTTTAGTTTCCCATCTTTTCTTGGCTTCAAACCTGGAAAAAAACAAAAAACAAATGTATGTCAGTATCTACCAAAGTACACTTTAGGGAGTTTTCAATCAAATTTCATTTAGCCAGCAATGGCTATATTGGAACTAGATTTTTAATACTCTAGCAATCACAAAAGGGAAAGTATAAACATTTGAATAATGTATCAGCTGTAGTAAAGACTCTACATTAAGCAGATGCACTACTCAAGGAAAAAGCCAAGGTCAAATTAAGCAAACAAGGATTAGTAGAAGCCAATCTGAAGGCAGAAAACATTTTACTCAGAATCTCTATTAGTCTTAAATATAGAAGGCCAATGACCCACCCCCATGCAAGCTTCTTTTTCTTCCGGGCTTCTTGACAAGCTTCTGCATCTTGCTTTGTTTTCACAAAATTTCGACAAGCAACAGCTTTGGAAATTTTCACACCGAGCTAAGGAGAGAAGAACATAAGCAAGTGAGTTCACAGGAGAAATTAAAGAGAGACAAAAAGAACGCCCCTTTCAAGCAGCTTTGTCTGAGACGTTTTAGCATTTGTACCTGACTCAACTGTCCTGCATCTACTATGGAACATTTCTGGGTACATTATATTCAGCAACAGGTGGAAGGAAGGTGAAGCCTGTTCTGATTTTCAGTGAAAGAAAAGTTCATTATTCGCCTAGCAGCCAACCGCCATGATGTAAATCATGGGAAATCAAATTAGTTTTGGCACAGTTTGAAAATGAGGTGGGATAATCATGTAAAAACAACAACATAATAGGTGTTCTATTAGAGTCAAAGTTGCTGTGAAGTTTCATTTCAGCACATGTTCTCTAGAAGTTGAGCAGGAATGGATATACTGTTATGACTATTCATGCCTTCTTTATACTTTTTAAATTGAGTGCTTAGGAGACACCACAAGGGCTTTCCAGGCTTTGCATAGGCATAGGAAAAAGGATCCCCTCAATTTTCTTGAGTTTTTAGATGATTCCCCCCACCATTTCAGATATTTGATTTCCACAAAACATTTATACTTTGCTTTCCACCTTTAGAGGCCACAAAGTAGCTACAACCAAATTATATTTTTGATCAGTCACAATAACAACAAGACAACATCATCAACAAAAAGATATAAAAAATGAAAATCAACTGAAAAAATACTATTTGATGATGATGATGATGATTTTTTTATACCCCGTCCATCTGGCTGGGTTTCCCCAGCAGCTCTGAATAGCAGAAATATTAAATTCAAATAAAGTTTATCTCAGTATTCAGATTCTCTCAGTAAATGTGTTCCGTGTGACGAGGACAATAGATAACAAATCCATGGCAGGTTAGCTTTTTCTTGTAGTTTAAAGCTGTGAGTTAAACCTACACTAAACAAATCCAAGGACCACTCATTCAGGGTTATCGGAGAACCAGTCTCTGATGGAATACATACAGTGGCTGGGATCCAACTGATCCACATAGAGAGGTTCTATATGTGTTGAGGGACACATATAGAACCAAGTTACTAACCAAACTCAGAGGTAACCTATATAGTTGCCAGTGATGTACCACAAGAATGTAAGAGTGCTGCTAGATTAGACTAAAGACCCATCAAGTCTTGAATCCTGTTTCCCAGAGTGAGAAGCCCATAAACATGGCATGAAAGCAACAGCTAGCCCTCTCCAGCCCTGCTGTTGTGCCCCTGCAACTGGTATTTCTATGGCATGCTTCTTCTGAACTTGAAAATGCCATTTGAATATGACAGAGGACAGCAGGAGCCAAAGGAAAGAAACAGAGGTGAGTGTGGGAGAGAAACGGCGTGTTTTGGGGTACAGACATATGAATATATGTATATTTATTAATTCCATATATACACATACTAGCGGGGAGTGCCTGGGAACTTTTAGAAATTAAAAAATATTGTGATTTTAAAATAGATAGTGTAATTTGTCAGTCTGGATTCTTCACGTCAAAAATCTGGTGAAGTCATGATTTTTTTCCCCACCATCTTGATTCAAAATGGTGCCCAGCTTTCAAATATAAACAAAGATTGCTGCCTCCACTCCAGGAACTACTCATGCAGAGTTTGGTGAGATTATCTTCAGAGGTAGACAAAACCTATGCCAAAAATCGGGTGAAGTCACTGACACTATTATAGCAACATCACTGAAAAAAGTAGGACATTTGAAAGATAAATAAAACAGGGAGGAATGAAGAAATTAATGCGGATAGAGAAGTAACTTGCCCAAGGAATGAACTATGTTTTAACTAGCACGCAGATAATTAGCATCACGGCTCAGGATCTGTATTCATACAGCAACCTAAGTACTGGGTATCTAGGAATATGCATTAAGGTTGGATTACTACAATGCACTCTATGTGGGGCTTGTGCTTGATCCGAAAGCTGCGGATAGTGTATAATGCTGCAGCACTCTTGCTGACATGACTGAGACCCTGCCAGCATATAACATATAATTATATTTTTGGAAACCGCTTAGGTTTTCTTACAATCAAACCATTTAAATAAATAAATAAAGCACCACAAAGCCTAAAAAGTTACTGTTTTTTAAGAAGAGCAGTATTTTTTTAACCGCCCCGATACCCCCTTTTATATCCCAGAACACCCATTTATTAATTTCTGCCATTTTAAACAACTATAAAGCTCACGCAAGTACTTAGGAGGCCCGCAAGCTTCTAACCCTGATCTGGGCACTGTAACCACAGATGTGGCTTACCCACTATTAGCTAGCTTGCACTTGTTTGCCTGGCTAATAAGGCCAGCTAAATTCTCTGGATTGCTGCCTCTTTCTTTGGATATCTTTGGAGTAAAGCAACACTTACAGACTTGGCAAAGCATGGTTCTAGAATGGGCTAAAGCAGCCCGTACTATTGCAAAGAACGGGAGAGAGAACCATTTTGCAGTCTTAATGTTATTGTGCAAGGACTGCATTGATGCAACTTCTAAA